CTTTAAGTCTGTCTAAATATCCTAATATAGATATATATCCAGTAGAGTATCCTAATATCCTTTCCTTAGGAAGGTGTGCTAAATACTGATTAATGTAACATAAAAATACTATACATATTTATATATTTTGCTACTGTATTGTGCAGTGACACTTTCATAAACTTTTCTATATTCCTCTGATTATATAATGGTAAATATTACAATATCATAGCACAACAACAGAGCTCAGTAATAACGATAAGCCGAATACTCACAATAAAAATAATAGGGTCATATAGATCATAACACAGTCTCGGAGGTAAGAAGTGGATTATCCTTCACCTGAAATGTTTGTCTTTTCATCCTGAAATGCGAGGCAAATGTTGGATCACAATAATTAGGAACCACAGTTTCCACAAATCCCTTCATTTGATTGGGATGTTCTCTTTTATTCTGGAGGGCAAGGGCGGTGACTGTACCATCGAGCGTATTTTGCCGTATTAAACACGTATTTATACAGATTTCATCAGGCTCCGGAAATTCTTCAAGAAGAACACAAAGAATGCTCTTCTCAGCTGCCATAGTTGCAACTCTTGCGTCATCAGAACAGGGTGTTCAACGCACCACCGTTTCCGTTTAAAACACGTTTTGCACCGTTTTGTCGGCGCTGAACGCAGCCCTACTCAATATTGTCATGGAAACCATGATAGGCTACATTTTAAATGTCTTTACTGTTGCTTTTGATCAATTTTGCTGAATAAAAGTATACATTTCTAATAACATGTGCTGTGGTGACACCATGCTATAAGAGCAAGTGAGCAAATTTACAGTACTAAATGATTTTCATAGATTATTTACATGGTTCTACTTAAAACAACAGCATGGTACTTACTCAAAAGTGTGCTATTGTGGCATTGTATTGTGTCTGAAACATGGTATTACTATGGCAGCAATTCAAATACATTTTATGCTAGTGCTATGACAGTAAACAAACTTTAATCTAAACCTATCGTGCTGCTTCTATAAAACAAGATTATGCATCTGAAAATATATTTTTGGAGATGATTTGGTCAGATAAGTTTTGAAACCTGCTCTGAAGTTGCTGCATCGTCGTCTCCATCTGTTTGAAGAAAAGAAGTGAATTGAGCAGATTTGTCCAACTTTAAAACAATATCCGCAAATGCAATTATACAATCTATAAGAACTGTCAACATGAACATAATCACTTACCATTGCAGTCGGCTTTTGACTCGGATCCTGCCATGAGGGTTGTTTGAGTTGGTTTATGTTGGGTTAGTTCAGGGGTGTCAAACTCAATTCCTGGAGGGCCGGAGCCCTGCAGAGTTTAGATTCAACCCTAATTAAACACACCTGATACAACTAATCAAGTCCTTCAGGCTTATTTGAAAACTACATGGTATGAGTGTTGGAGCAGGGTTGAAACAAACTCTGCACGGCTCCGGCCCTCCAGGAATTGAGTTTGACACCCCTGGGTTAGTTGATCGTTTCAGCTCGAGGCTACCGACGTTATCTGGACTAAAACCGCACGAGTTTGAAAATAATAGACGCGTGAATTATGTAACATGGAGTCGGTATGGTAACTTCATTTGGATTACGACACAAATATTCCGTCACCAGTGTTGGGGAAAGTTACTTTTAAAAGTAATGCATTACAATATTGCGTTACTCCATAAAAAAGTAACTAATTACGGTACTTAGTTACTTTTTATGGAAAGTATTGCGTTACGTTACTTTTGCGTTACTTTTTAAATCTGGACGGGGCTTGCTTGTTTGTTTTTAAAATAAAAAAGTTATATTTTTGGCAAATATAAAAGCCTTTCACACCAAAAGTGAAATGAATAAGCCTCAGGCTGAAGGGAAAGTACATTTACGTCCGTACAGTAGAATGCAGAAGAAGACATTTCAACACACTTCAGCAATAAACAAAGACACACAAATGTTGTCTAGAGTAATTTGTGCTTATTAGTACGGTTGAACTGGATCATCGAAGGTCAGAAGCAAAGACATTGTTAATAGAATGGGATTAAATACATAAAGCATATTTGTGTTGTTTAACATTTCATTATTGCAGGTTTGCGTCATATTCTGAGTTGCATTATTTTTATTCATTTTGAGGAATGCTGAATCAGTTTTTTTGTGAGTGAGATGAATTAATGCATATTCATATTTATTTTAGATCTACTGTAACATCTGGTTTCTCTCAACATGGCGACAGGAGAGCTGCCAGTCAATACATTGGAAAGAAAAAGTAACTTGCGTTACTTATTTGAAAAAGTAACTCAGATGTTCTCTTGTAAATTAAAAAGTAATGCGTTACTTTACTAGTTACTTTAAAAAAGTAATCTGATTACGTAACTCACGTTACTTGTAATGCGTTACCCCCAACACTGTCCGTCACAAGTATAAGACAGTTTGAGATCAAGTCAGGTCATGTCTGAGTCTAATATGTGGTGGTAAATATAATCCTCACATCCAGAAATGCTGGGTTTAATCGAAAGAAAATAATTAGTTGTAGGCTATCTTCAGTTTCGTCTCAAACGCGCGTCAGGAAACTCGGCTGGCGATAGGACCGCGCGTCTCATGAATATGTAATGAGCCTGCTGTGACGTATGCAACACGGAAGTACTGTTATGAGCTTTAGCCAGCTGTAGCAGAGAGGATCACAGTGGCTTTAAAATGTTTTACAGCGCTCTGTTGATCTCTGCAAGACAGGAGATACACGTCGTCTAACGTGGACCCACGCTGAGGATCCGTTCCCATCGATTTAGCAAGTACTCCTTTGCTGGAAAGGGGAGTCACTTGAATGAATTAGATCTAATGAATCAGTGGATGTTGACTGGGACAATGAAAGTACATTTACTGCTGTTGTTTAGAATATGCATCCAGTAATCGGCAAGAAATTACATTTTAAAATGTGCACAAAATAGTAATTTATATAGTAATAGTAGTTTATGTGTATTTACATTAGTGGGCTAGTCATTGCATTCAGTTGGTTTTAATGATAAAGGACAGCTACATCACTCAAAGATGGATGAAGTGATTATGGATCAGATCATGTATGTTGCTCATCAAGCGGTGTCTTGGATCGCATCTGTTGCCATCATATTTGGAGGGGTTGTGCCATACATCCCTCAGTACAGGGACATCCGCAGGACCCAGAGTGCTGAGGGATTCTCCACATATGTGTGCCTGGTGCTGCTGGTTGCCAACATATTAAGAATACTGTTTAGGTGAGTTCTCATATCTCCACCATCATGTCTGGAGACACTACACCTGCTGCAAGACAGCTAAATGAAGGAACGATATAAACACATGGCACGCAATCCACTGATCTGGCATAATCCACTATAATGTGTGTTTCAGTGCTGTCAAATCAATTAATCGCATCCAAAATATAAGTTTTGCTTATATGTGCGTGTACTGTGTATATTTATCATGCATATATAAGTAAATTCACACACATACAGCATATATTTTGAAAATATTTACATGTATATATTTATATTCATATAATTTATATTATGTATAAATGTAACTTAAATATATACATGCATGTTTGAATTCTTTTTTCAGGTTTGGACGTTACTTTGAGACTCCGCTGCTTTGGCAGAGTATAATCATGATCATCACGATGTTAATCATGCTGAACCTGTGCACCAGCATCCGCATGGCCACCGAACTCAACACCAAACGCCGCTCCTTCACAGGTGACAAACTTTAGGACTCTTTACAGCCTCTTTGTCTAATTGAGTGTGTGTGTGTGTGGAGCTGCAGACGGAAGTTTATCAGCATTCTTTTATTCCCAGATTAAGGAATCAACTGGTTCTATAGTTTACAGACTATTGAAGTACAGTGCGTGATACAGTCACATGGTCAGGGTCTTTCTTTGAGCATGTCTCATGAGATTATCACACAAGAAGGGCCTCTGAAGTGGATGAACTTTGAACGGCTGGCTGCTTGGTGAACATCTCGGCTTTATTTATAGTTGGGGTGTGGTACAAAGTTAACAAAAGATGAGTTTGTTCTCTCAAACTGAGCCAGAGCACTGAACTTTGCATGTATTGTGTACAGTGTACTCATTTTTAAGAATAATATGTGATGCAGTATATAGTAAGTAATGCTTCAGTCTAGTGTTTCTAAGTATACATACTGCTGAATGAAGAATATGCTTATTTAGAAACACTCCCTGGACACATTTGTTAGAGCTAATAGTCTCTCACTCGTCTGTTTGCACAGGACGTCCTGTTTAATCAGGTTTTATCTATTAGTGTAAAGCCGTACCCAAGTGTGTCTTTATGGGTTGACTGTTGTCTTTAGATCATGTCACTGATGTTAAGACAACAGTTTGACAGCCGGAGCCGTTTTGATCACGACACAAACAGAGCTAGCTTCACATCATGCCACTTGCAAACTCTCCAGTGGCTTCTCGACAGATGGAGAATGTTCAGAATTACCAGATGAAGCAAGGAAACAACTGTAAAATGAATTGAAGCAAGATCCAAACCAACATTGAAATTCAAGTCTTAAGGTTCCTATGATCTCATGATCTTGCACATAAAAATGAATGACCGTCAGATATAACTTTTGACAGAACAGAAGTCTTTCATAGTTGCCAAGGCTGCATTTATTTGATTCAGTAAGCACAGTAATATTGTGAAATATTATTACAATTTAAAATAACTGTGCTCCGTTTGAATAAGTTTCAAAATGTAATTGATTCCTGTGATGCAAAGCTGAATTTTCAGCATCATTACTGCAGTCTTCAGTGTCACACGATCCAAGAAACATTATTATCACAGTTGAAAACAGTTTTGCTAAATATTTTTGCGCAAACCGTGATACACGGCCATTCAAAGGTCTGGGTTAAGTATGATTTTATAATAAAAATAACAGAATGATTTCTGAAGGATCACGTGTCCATGTAAAATGAAATTTTAAAATGTATTGAAATCGAAAACAGGCGTTTTTTTTTTAAAATCATATTTTACAATGTTACAGTGTTTACTGTATTTTTTTTAAGAAATAAAACTTGAAAAAACTCCAAACTTGTAGCGTATCTGGTTCATAGTTGAAAAAATTGGCATGAAAAAATTACAGAATGTTTTGCTTAAGAAAAATGAAACTAATTATCATGAAAATAATGTCACGTATCATAATGGTCCAACAAAAGTAGGTTTTTCCTTTTCTTTATGAAAAATAGTTCCTTTTCAGCTGATTTTGGGGTGAAATATGACCTGCACATGTTTTCACGAGTTTCATCCCTTCAGGGCTTTTTGTGTCCTCGTGAAGATGGAGCGATGCAATCTCCCTGTTCTTATTTTTTGTTTATTTGTCTTATTTGTCTGAAGCAACAGACAGTAAGGATGAAGAAATCAAAGTTCCTAAGAGGCTCTTTCTGGGTATGTACTGATGCTCCTTCACAGGTGACAAACTTTAGGACTCTTTACAGCCTCTTTGTCTAATTGAGTGTGTGTGTGTGGAGCTGCAGACGGAAGTTTATCAGCATTCTTTTATTCCCAGATTAAGGAATCAACTGGTTCTATAGTTTACAGACTATTGAATTACAGTGCGTGATACAGTCACATGGTCAGGGTCTTTCTTTGAGCGGATGCCAGATGTCAGGTGTTCGCAGCACATGTGCTGGAGTTGCTATTTAAGATGCGCTTGTGTCTCGTTGAGGTCCGGTGGTTGTCGGGCAGCTGCTGTGAATGCAGTCTCCTCTCACTGGAGCAAATGTGAAGGTCTTCAGTCCAGTTTTAGGATCAGTCATTTAACCTTGAACTCCCATACTTCAATAGAGTTTGACCAGAAAATGAAAGTACGCTGCTCCTTTCCGTACAAACTTAAAGCAGTTATGAGATTTGGGTGAACTATTCTTTTAGGGCTAATGTCTGTTTATCATGTTAAGTCAGTAAATTACTCTTTGAAATATGTGACCCTGGACCACAAAACCAGCCTTAAGTGTCAATTTTTCAAAATTGAGATTTATAGATCATCTGAAAGCTGAATAAATAAGCTCTCCATTGATGTATGGTTTGTTAGGACAATATTTGGCCGAGATACAACTATTTGAAAATCTGGAATCTGAGGGTGCAAAAAAAATCAAAATATTGAGAAAATCACCTTTAAAGTTGTCCAAATGAAGTTCTTAGCAATGCATATTACTAATCCAAAATTAAGTTTTGATATATTTACGGAAGGAAATTTACAAAATATCTTCATGGAACATGATCTTTACTTAATATCCTCATAATTTCTGGCATAAAAGAAAAATCTATAATTTTGACCCATACAATGTATTTTTGGCTATTGCTACAAATATACCCCAGCGACTTAAAGGGATAGTTCACCCAAAAATGAAAATTCTGTCATCATTTACTCACCCCCAAGTAGTTCCAAACCCGTATAAATTTCTTTGTTCTTCCGAACAGAAAGGGAGATATTTTGAAGAAAGTTTGTAACCAGGCTGTTTTGGGGCACCATTGACTTCCATAGTAGGAGAAAAAAATACTACGGAAGTCAATGGTGCCCCAGAACTGCTCTGTTTCCCACATTCTTCAGAATATCTCCCTTTGTGTTCTGCAGAACAAAGACATTCATACAGGTTTGAAACTATTTGAGGGTGAGTAAATGATGACAGAATTTTCATTTTTGGGTGAACTATCCCTTTAAGACTGGTTTTGTGCTCCAGGGTCACATATGACAATATAATTGTTCAAAATGAATATGGAAATCAAAGGATTTTGTTGGATTTTAAACCAGTTTAGACCAGTGGTTCTCATGCTTTTTGGCTATAGAATATTTTAGATTTTGTTTTATTTATTTATTGACAGAAACCTAAAATATTGATATATTAAGTTGATTGGTTTTTGAGATTCCAAAATGTATTCAGTAAAAACCATAGTTATTATGCGTTATGGATTTAAGTTTGATTTCTTGATTTTATGCAATTATCCGCATTTTAATCTAGATTAGATGTAGATTGTTTCAATATATCAATAGTAATTTATTAATTTAAATGCTTTTAAAGAGGTAGTTCACTCAAAAATGAAAATTCAGTCATTATTTACTCGCCCTGACGTGGTTTTAAATGCTGTATGAACTTTTTTTTTCTTCTTTTTGTGGGGTAATTTTGAAAAATGTCCTGTTCATGCTTGTCCATATAATGGTAGTGAGTAGCAACCAACATCCAGATTAAAAAAATAATAATGTTCCCATCCAACATGTGCCAAATATAAGTGTTCTGGTGGTATACGATAGGGTTTTTAGTAGCCAAAATGTTGTAGGTTTGAATCCTGCAAGGGGCGACCCCTTATCTCACCATTTGTTCAAGATACTGAACCTCGGGTTACTCCAAGAGGGATTGCAGATCAATACAGATCAAGTGTACTGCAGATCAATACGAAATCAATTACTGAATTAGACTGGACACGGTATGCCCTGAAATATACAGTGTATTCAGACCAAATGTGCATTTTATTCACATTCTGTGTTGCAGCCTTTATGCTAAAATGTTTTTTAGACCCTTTTTCACATCAGTCTATCTCTATACCACATAATGGCAAATCAAAAATCAGATTTGTAATAATGTTACATATTTCATGAAAAAGAAGGAAAATTAAATATATTCTGTTTTAATAAAAAAATTACATTAATCATTTAATGCAAAACATTTTTTTTAAATTATAAGAATTATTGTAAGCATTTTAGCATAAGACTTCAGCATATGTAACAATAAATGGTAGTAGTTAGAATACTTTCTGAATGCATGTATTAAGTATGTGTATGTAATACTTAGTGTGTTACAGTGCAGTTCACAAAGCTAGTATGTGTTTTATAACTAGCTTTACCAGTGTTTTTTTCAGTATTTGTATGCTATTATAGTATTTATAAAAATTTTGAATTATCATTTAATTTAATATTTTCAGCTTTCATTTTAACTTTAGTTTCAGTAATTTCATGTGCTTTTGTGTTGGGATTTTATATATATCTATAGAGAGAGAGATAGAGAGTATAATGTTTTTTTCTGTTTTAGTTTTAGTAATTTTAGTTCTCATTTTATTTCAGTTAGTTTGCCAAGGCAACATTTCCATTCAAGTTTAAGTGTTTGTCTAATTTATTTATTTTTATTTTCATCGTAGTATAAAAAAAATTTGTTTACAAAAACAATTTTGTTGCAATATTATTTGTGCCTAGTGAGTTTAAATCAGCGAGAGTACGGAGGCTATAGTACTTTTTTTTTTTTTTTTCGTCTAGCTGTAACTGGCAGCTGATGGAAAAGCAGATTTGTTGTTTTCTCTCTCTCTGTGTCACATGGCTGGCTGTATTGATCACGTATGCCCCGCGGCCCCTCACACACATCATTAGAAGTGTGTTCAGCACTCAGGCTGAGAGGTGTTTGCTAATTGCTGCTTTGCTCGCAAGCTCATTGATCCAGTGGAACTGAATAATGGAGGTGTGCTCCGATCCATCCAGAGGTCAAAGGGCAAGCAGGAATGGGCAGTTTGCTGGTTGAGGGCAGAACTGATATGATATCCGAGCACTTGATAAGTCAGAGTTTTTATCCAGTGCATTCAGATCTCAATTTATCTGTCCATATTTGTCATCCTGGTGATGTCCGTCGTTCAGACTTGAAGCAGGGGGCGGTTGTTCGCGACTGATTGGCTGTAATTCAGTCCGGGCTCTGGCAGAGATTTCTAAATATGTTTGATGTAGGGCAGACTGCTGGGGTCCTGGTGATTGTGCAGTAATGGACGTAAATGGGTGGCACTCCCACACACAGTCTTGCTCCGCTGCATTATCCCTACAGGACACCGCAACCGCTTCAATTAGCATCCAGTCACTGCTATCAGAGAACCGGATGTTTCAAATAAATGTGTTTTCCCTTAAAATTCCCAAAAAATGCTCGCTCTGCCTGACTGTACATGGACCAAAATTTGCTGACTGTCCATTTTTTCCAACAATCCACTGTAGTCTCTGCTGAAAGTAACATAAACGTTTATTATCCAGTTCTGTTTATCGGGATATGCAGCGAAATGGTAAAAACTAACAACATACATAATAAGAAGAACTGTGATTTTGATGACGTTTATGCAATAGACACTTAAGTACAAACTGCTTTCCTTTTAATAACATCAAATTAATTTTCTTTAAACTACAGTGCACAATTACGGCAAGTCATAATTGCATAACAATATATATATATTCATAAAAAGACAAAACTGAAATACCACATTTACATAAGTATTTAGACTCAATACTTAGTTGAAGCACTAGGCAGCAATTACAGCCTTGAGTCTTTTTGGGTTTGACGCAACAAGCTTTGCACACCTGGATTGGGGGATTTTCTGCTATTCTGTAGTCATTTGGTGGTAAGGCTAGGTAAATCTGGGTGTCATCTGCATAGCTGTGATGGATAATTTGTTTCTTTCTCATTATTTGACTTAGTGGGAGCATATACAGGCAGGCTAAACAATAGTGGTGCAAGAATTGAGCCTTGTGGGACTCCGCATGTCATGGACGTCCGCTTAGACTTGTGCTCTCCTATACTCACATAATAACCTCTCCCTTCTAAATATGACCTGAACCATTTGAGTACCATCCCAGAAAGCCCGACCCAGTTTTCCAGTCTCTCTAGAAGTATGTTATGATCAACAGTGTCAAACGCAGCACTGAGATCTAGTAGTACCATCACTGATATTTTGCCAGAATCAGAATTAAAGTGAATATCATTTATTTACTCTATAGAGCACTGTCTCCGTGCTGTGGTGCAGTCGGAAACCAGATTGAAAATTGTCCAGGTATACATTTGAGTTTAAGTAGTTGTTCAGCTGATTTAAAAACTACCTTTTCAATAATCTTGCCTATAAAAGGAAGATTTGATATTGGTCTATAGTTGCTCAATAAGGTATTATCAAGATTTCTCTTTTTCAGAAGGGGCTTAACAACTGCAGTTTTCAGGGAGTTTGGAAAAGTCCCAGAAAGAAGTGAGGCGTTCACCACTTCTAAGAGATCTGCTGCTCCAGAGATGTTCAATAGGGTTCAAGACAGGGATACAATCCTGTCTCTGAGCTCTGCAGGCAGTTCCTCTGAACCCATGGCTTGGTTTTCACTCTGATATGCATCATCAGCTGCGAGGCCTTTTATAGAGAGGTGTGTGCCTTTTCAAATCATGTCCTATCAATTTAATTTACCACAGGTGGACTCCAATCAAGGTGAACAAACATCTCAGCAATGATCAAGACAAATGGGAGGCACCTGAGCTAAATTTTCAGTGTTGTTGCAAAAAAATTCTTTTTTTCCACATCAATCTACACTCCATACACCATATTGGTAAAGCAAAACACTTCACATGATTACATTGCATAAGTATTCATACCCTTATCTGGGACATTTGGCA